ATTCACAGTCTGGGGAATGCCACCCATTTAAGTAATTATGGAACTGGAAAAGACAAATTGCAAAATCAGTTTTGTGGTTGGTACTGTTACTGATATCAACATGTAGATGCAAAAATAAGTGTTTGAGGCTCCAGAAAATGTGTTAATGCCAATAAATTATATACAGGAAGTTTTAACATTTTTATCTGTAAAAAGTATATTAATTCTCTGTTACCAAATCCTAATTAACAATATTGAGGAATATTAAGCCAGAAACTAGCTAAGCCAGCTAAACTGACATGCAGATTGAAGCAATACAGTAATATAGACACTGGTGTTTAAAATTCTGTCAGCAATATATTTTTCTGTAATTAATTTTTGCATCATGATATACTTTCATAAAATAAATATACCCCATCAAGAATATATAATCTGTGCTATATACTGAAATAAAATGCATACAGATTGTGTTTGTGGTGTAGGATGTGTAAGCACAGGAACACAAGAACCGAAACAGGCATTATGCAGACCATCCATGCGAGAAATATATTGCCCAAGTATCCTTATGATCACCAGTAGCTTCAAAAAACAAACTGAAAAAGACTACTGTTTTCATAATAGTCCACTAGATGGTGCAGACATAACACTTTAGCAAGTCATGGTCTAAGAAGGGTCAAATCCAGAAGAAAACTATACATTTTTTTAACCATGAACTCATCAAAACATATTTTTCCCCAAAAATTTATAAGCTGTATCTTTTAAGCACCCATATTCTAGCTGATAAAATGTGTTGGAAGGTTTGATGTGAAATAATAATTTCTTTCTTTATTTAACTTTTCACAGCATAAATATTCTGCCTTGCTTTGTATACAATACATTCAAACGATATAATGACCTTTTTTTCCCCTGACAAACAGTATTATCAGTGCCTTTATGTATTGGTAAAGTTTGTGTGCAGGTTTCTCCTGCTATGATTTATTGTCCAAGAGGATTGACAAATAAAGCAGACACAAACAGTGTTTATACTTTAGAAACCTTGTTTATCTGAGGCTACCGTAATTTCCAAAACTCTGACGTCAAGCTAAGGTCTGGCTTTTGACTATGTTTTTTCCTTGTGTTTTTGGCTGAATTCCAGAAGTTTCCCTCTCTTCCGGTCAATCTCTTGTGAGCCTCCTTTACAGCAAAGGCACACGGTCTTGTGAGAATCAATTACATCATCATCACGAGCTCCTCAAACCACCTCAGACTTCCGCCCACTCACGACCACCACCGAACTCAAAAGAGATGCATGCAATTTGGGAGAATTGGTGTTAGCCTATTCGAAAATTTCCATAATAGCACACAATTATCATCTCTGATGTTCTTAATACCTTAAGTAGATAGGATGTTTAGAAACATTAATCAGAAAGTGATGTTTGGAAAGTTTCTTGAGTGAGTTCTATTAAAAATCCTTTGACCTTTCCAGTAATTGTAATTTATCACAAGTCATGTGATACTTTCCAGCTGTTTTTTTTTTTTTTTTTTGGATAAGGGTGGCAGTCTAATGAATATGAAACAGCAAGAAATACAGGCGGCCAAGCAGGATGGCAGTGGTGCTTAGGACAAGTCCGAGTACCGGACAGCATCCCGTCAGGGAGCTGCTTCCTCTTGCCCTCCCTACTGCTGTCTCTCTCCAGGTGCACATTGCCACACCTGTTGTGGGGCCTCTCTGTAATTAGGACTGCGCCATCATTACAGGGGGAAGTCCAAAAGCTGGGGTCAGAGAAGGGAAGTTTTGCGCAGAGAAAAAAAACAATAGGTGGCAATTGTTCTCTTTTTCCCTTGTTTCTTCTCCATGTTTAAAGTAATGAAAGATTCTTCCCGTCTTCAAAGGGAACGAGTTTCCTACAAAAACAGCTGACTCAGAAGGTTAAGAAATGGCAAGAGGGAGAGAGGGAGGGAAACAGAGAGAGAGAATGAAGCGGGATGGCAGATTACTGTACCGGATACACGTGGGGCACAAATGGGGAGGTGTCCCCAGGAAGCGGCCCCAAGTTCTTGGTGGCTGGCCGGCCTTCTGTCCGTGCGTGTCACAGCTGACATCACTGAGCCAGGAAGTGTCTCACATCCAACTTCAGGGAGATGTGAGCAGTCACGAGCTTCCAGCTATCAGGTTTATTTGAGGATAATCCTGGTCGCATGGGGGGGGGGGTTAATGCTGGGCTGCGTCCCGCCATGCCTCGGCCAGTTAGAAGAGAGATCAAGTCAACAAACAACGTCCTTCTCTAGGATGCTTCACTTTCTCCCCATCCACGGGATTACGTAGTGAAGACATTATTTATGAAAGGGCCCCGTGATGTCATCTGTGCCAGTCTGAGGCTTGCTACTGTTAGCAGGGGTTAGTGCAGCAAACTTCCATGCCCCCCCACCCTTCCCTGGGGGGTGGGGGGAGGTCATTTCCTGTCTACACCCGCCGTGTTTGGAGGGCTCAGTAACTATGCTGAGTTTGGTGGTCCTCCTAAAATGCCTCTGCCTTTTTTTTTTCGCCCGCACTCAGGAGTAGCGGGGAGGTGCCTTGTTCCGACAGGCCTAGCCTCTGTTGGAAGCTTGTTCCATTTTGCGTCATCGTGTTGACTGAGTGGACCCCACACTGAAACAGCAGTGCAGTGCCGCGAGGCTGCACAATACCACTCTTTATTTTTGGCTGTAATCTGATGGGTCTGTTTATGTTATGTAGCCTTGCTTTCATGTCGTTTAAATGCCTTTGGGCTTTTCCTTTGAGGGGCTTCCCCTGCCAGGTCAAAGGTCATTTAATTGGTATTAATAGAAAAAAAAAGTAATATCTACAAGCTAATTCACACTAAACAAATTATTTTCCCCCACATTCGTTTTTGGAATGCCTTAAGTATTACTGGTCAGATATTTTGCGAGCAGGACAGATTAGCCAGGACCCCATTACCACAGCTGTGTCACCTAGCATGCATGTTCGCCATCTACTACTGCCAGTATGTCTCTTGTTTTGTAGTCCTTCGGCAACATCCATAGGTCGTCATCATATACGTCCCGCAGGCAAAACGGGTGCTTCTTAGTCGAGGAAATAGAGCCGTTGGCTCACCTTCTCACTTGAAACAGACAGAGAGAAAGAAATGTACAGCTGTGGTCTCCATTTAAAAAAAAAAGGCTTCTATATAAACATAACCACCAAAACAAGCTACAGTAGTTAATAATAATCATCGCTAGTAAGAATTAAACCTCACTTTCATTTTATGAAAGGCAAAGTTCTGTAAAAAAAAATAAATAAGAAAACCATGACAGGCATTGACAGGAATTTTATCATGTGTTTCCCAAAAAGCAAATGCAAACATGCTTCGAAATGTTCTAAGAAATTGTGCGTCTTTTCTTGGGAACCAAAAGGATTGTCTTCACGACTAGCCGGAGCTGGCAAGGAGACGTCTGAATTCCCGGGCTGACTTCCGGCTCATTGAGCGGTTGTCTCACTAATGCTTTTAAGAATGTAGGAACAACGTACTTCAGTGCTATCTATGACAATAATAAACAAACTGAATAAAATGAAATCTAAAAAATTGAAAAAAAGCTTTTAGGATAATTGCCTGAGTCAACTGGAAACCAGTAGAATGAGGTCATGATTACTCTCAGGAAGGACTATGCCTTCAAACCCACGAGAGCATTATACCTACTTCATGTTTTCAACCACCAAATTCCTGCCCACAGAAATTCGTCCGTTTTCAATATCCACTTATCCTATTAGGACTGCAGTAATCTGGAGCTTATCCCAGGAAGCCCAGACGACCCAAAGAAAACCCACGCAAAGACAAGGGGCCATGCACACACACACACACACACCGCATGCACACACCACACACATGGTGGTAAGGGGAGGGAGCCCAGGCATAAAATCTCACAATTCTTGAGTACTGAAGCAATGCGATACCCATTGCAGAAATTGGTATGGATGTCTTCAGTTGAAGAATATTGCGCCCCTTTTGAAAGACTTCTACAATATTGGAAGGCAAGTTTAGGGTGACATAAAATGTGATGTAATGAAGGGATACAGGGGACTTCCACAGGAGACAGTAATCTGATCTCTGACCAGGCTTCTGACACTTTAAAAGCTTAATTTCTTAACAACACAGCAGAGGATCTGTGCTGAAAGTTTCAAGAGACTGTGGCTTGTTTTTGATCTTTTCCTATATATTGTGTATTTCCTCTATTCCCCAATTCCTACCTCTTTGGGTCACCTTCCTGTCCTCTTGCTCACCCTCCAAGCTCCACCTCTCCAAATCCAATGCCCCCCTCCCCCCGCTTTGTGTGCCTGTTTTGTTGTTCTCCAGGGAAATTCCGTCTATCTCTGACTCGTTCATTCCCCGCATTCATTGCATTCCTGCCGTGCAAAGAAAGGGACAGAAGCATTTGAGGGGGTGTTAATGGGGGGCATATGGAACATTATCTCTGGCCTCAGTGAAAAGTGCTGCATCACTAAGAGTTAAGGAAGCACTGCATACACTGCAGTAAACAGTTAAACACGAGAGTGCTGGGTAATATCCTTCGGTGAGTGAGGCTGGTTTGGGGAGTAAAGGTGACATTGGGGTGGTGGTTAGTAACTGGGGGAAAGCTCCTCTACCCTCAAAAAGACAGACTCAGGTCCTTCCTGTCTATCCTTCCTATCATAAGGATGACGACATCCAGCCCAATTATTTAGTCTCCTGTGGTCCTTTTTAACATCTCCCCCTCCTGTAGTCTTTCTGCTCCAGCCTACAGGAAAACCATGCATTGCTAAGTCCAGTGGAAAGTCGGGGTTACTATCGCCCTGAATAGTGCTGATTGCCCCCTGCTGATGCATGGGGGATTCCCCATGGACCGTCACATCACAATACATACAGAGAGCGTAGAACTATACTGATTTAACACAGTACAGTAATGAAGTACTGCAGATAATTACTGCCTATACATACCGGCACAGAGACTTAACACAGCAAAGGGCTGACTTAACATCATCATGTTTGTCTGAAGGAGGAAGAAAACAGAAACATAGGATAAAAAATATTACTTTTGAGATACACAGTTTGCATTGCTGTGGTCAGCTGTGTCGGCTTCATTGTCCTGGCTTCATATCTGGCCCCGTCTCCGACTTTCTGCTGCTTTACTCATGTTCCGCCTTGGGTTTTCCTTGGGATATTCTGGCTTCCCACGATCTAAGGCCATGCTGTCTGGTGTCTCCAAATTGCCCTTGGCTGGGTGTGGTTCCTGAGATGGCCTGACGTCTGGTCCAGGGTGTGGTCCTGCCTTCTGTCCAGGCTCTGCTGGGAGACTCTCTGGGTCACGCAAAGCTACTAAGCATAAAGCGGTTTTGGGAAAGTGAGTGTTTGGTGTATGAGTGCAAACAGTCCACAGCTGAAACTCCTATATGCTACGTACCAAACATTTTCCTGCATTTAGCCTTCTTATTGCGAGGACTGTAGCCCGTGACAACCAAGTCCGTTCTCAGCTCACCCCTTTTTGATGAAATCACAGAGATGCAAAGAGTGGAGAAAGTAAACTGCTATGCCAAACAGTCAGTGGTCAGCACTGTCCCCTCAGTACTGCAGGGTTCTGGGTTCAAATTCTGTCCCTGCTCTGTGTGTGCCCTTCTCATTGTCTCCCCATGTACTCTGATCTCTTCCCACTGTCCAAAGACATGCAGTTAAGCTAACTGGGGGTTCCCAAAGGCCAAGGGGGTATTCCCCTGTGTGGGATAAGCTCCAGGTTCATAGTGACCCTGTACAGATAAGAAATTGGTTGGGACGCAACATTTGGGGGGGTTGGATAAAGACTAGTAAACACCCAGGCCTTCAAGAGTAGAGTCTGTGACCCTGCTGGCACTGTCATTCATTGATAAGACGGTGTAATATTAGGCTACAACATGCAAGGTCAACCATTTTGGCCTCTTTTACAGGAATATAAAGAACACTGAAGCCTGCATCATATCACACCAAATCTCAGCTTACGAACATCTATCCGTCCAATCTATCGATATGGAAAATGTTACCTGACCAACATTAAATGTTATTAAGGATATCTGTTTAGCCAGGAATGTCTCAGGGCCTGATTTTAATGAAAATAAACGAGAACATACTGTTAAACTAATGAATGTACATTTGTTTGGAGGGGCTAAAGAGCATTTTAGGGTGGCTAAAGCCCCCCAGAGATGCCCTCGTGTGTTTAGCTAACACAACAGGAATCAGGCAATATAAATGACAGAGGTCACATGATTTAAAACGGCACCGGGAAATTGCTCGTCGGGAAAGCCATTGAGGCGATGCAGCCTCGCATTTTGTCACATTTGTGCAGTTAGTCAGTGGGGCAGACGAGGACGTCACTACATTCCTTCCCTCTTTGTCCGCGGAGCCCTCTCATATTCTTTACACAGGGGCCCACGTGCGTGTGCGTGTGTGTGAGGGTCAGCACGCTTCCTCCCCGGCTAACCGGGTGGGGGAAAAGTGAAAGGGGCTGCCAGACAGTCTGTGAGAGGCTCAGTGGGCACGACACCCGAAGCATAGAAAGCGGGGGAATGCTCAGGAATACCTCCCGGGGTAGCATTTTGGCAAGAGGAGGAATGTGCTAAAAATAGCCCCCCCCCCCCCAACACTTCCCCGCCCACGGCTGTCATCCACAAAGCGTCCCGGGTGATGTCCTGCACAGGCCCGCTGATAAAACTGAAGGAGCCAGCTGACATTTGGTTTGTTTGCGTGGTTGAGCAAGTGCGGCAGCTGTACGGCGTCAAGCCGCCTGCGGGCACCGGATACTTCGCCTAGAGCTCCTATACCAGGGGGAGGAAAGAAGGGATGGAGAGAGGGATGCAGACAGGAAACATACAGTGACAAGGGAGGAAAGAATGTTTAGAGCGGCTGAGAAGAGGAGAGAGACAGGGAGCGGGCAAGACGTAGGGAGAGGGAGAGAGAAAGTTGTAGTGTACGGAGAGGGGCTGAACTCAGCAGTGCAGCACGTTAGCAGCAAAGAGTGAGGGAGGCATAAATGGAAAGTGTTTGCACAGTAAAAAGTTCCTTGTTACTCGCTTGGCTGTCCCCCAACCCCCCCCCCCCCCCCTTCACCCCTCCTCGACTCTGACCTGTTGCTTCAGCGTCTTCATTGAAAGATTTCCTCACTCAGAGATGCAGGATGAGCTGGAAAGGGAGGTCAGGACAGAGCGAGGAACGTGAGGAGGGGCTGGGGGGGGGAATGTTGGACAGACACTCATTTATAAACATCCCGATATTCATGCAGCTTCCTGATAAAATATGCCTCATAAGCCTAGTTTCAGTTGCATGCTGTCATGTAAAACTCTCCACGTGTCACCAAATGAAAACATGCCCCAGAATCAGAGCCAGGCCTGATGCTGTCATACAGGGAAATAAAGACGTCAGTCATGCTAGCGATGAGAAGGGCCGAGGGTCAGGTGACCATTTCGGGGAGCTTCTGGGAGCACTGGGCTCCGGTTGGTAATGGAGGTCTGCTGGATCATACAGGATACACCCTGGAACGGGAACAAAAAGACAGGCTAGTACTGATTACTGACTGTGAGAAAGGGAGAGTGAAAGACGTCATTTCATTGCTCAATGGCTTTTCTTCTCTGTGTCACTATTATTTTTTCTCCGCCCCCCCAAAACCATTAAAACACTCACTTGCTCTCTGACGTCGAAAGGGGCTGGGGGGTAGGGGGTGACAAGATTTAGAGCAATGGGTTCCCATTCTGCTGACCCTCACGCAGCTGGGAAGCGGGTTGTGTAGGTCAGGCCCTGTTGAGTGGCGTTTCATGGAAAAAAAAGTCCCTGTTAACACTTAACGGCTCCGCTTCCTTGCGGCTCTTTGAACAAAGCTGCCTGTGCTTAATCTGCGGCGCAGCGGAATTCCGACTTAACGATGAGGAAACGTTAAAATGACAGCTGCATGTAATTTATAACTGCTAACATAAGTCCTTCGCTAGAGCAGCGTCTACATTTCCCGTGTTGCGTCACATCAGGTTAAATGTCTGGAGATACACTGAACACCGAGGCGTTGGACATGGAGACACTTGTAGGCACAGGGTGCCCGTCCAGGAAGCACTACCTTCACTAGCGCTGCTCTTCTGTCCTGGTGAAACTTTCAATTTACAACTGAAAAATCACGAGTGAAAACGATATTTAAGGTTCACCACAATATCTTTAAAAGACATCAACTTAACCTATAATGGAGTGTTTATGGCTCATTACACTTATACTGCTCCAGACTGAATACTTGACTGCCTCTAGTAACCCTGGGTGATTAAGCTCACATCCCATCATTATATCAGTCGCGCAAATGTAGCGGTAAGATTTACATTACGATTTTCGTTCATCCGAACAGCGTAAACTTTCTGTCGTTGCTTGGGGAAAGCAACCAACTGACAGCCTCAGACAAGTCCAGAACCAGTGGTTTGGTCAATCAAAGGTTTCCCGAGACAGTGATTTATTTGAGGATGGACACATGCAGCCGTCATCCGTAAGCTGGGGAGAAGTGAGCCGATGTGTTGAGCAGGATATGAAAGTGGCACGCAGGTGTGCATTCTGGCATGACATCGCAGCACCCATGACGGGTGGTAGGGGGCGCTAGTGTCAGCGTGCTGACACGAGTATGAGCAGCTACTACTGTACAAGGGACCACCGGCAGCTGCACTTAGAAGGGCAGACAGAAAGAGGGAGAGTGACTAAGTTCACTTATGTTCACTCTTTCTTTTATTCTTTCCCAGCTGTGCCTTCAAAGAAGTCTTTGATGTGGGAAATGAAAAGAAGGAGTGTGTTAATATCTCCCACCATCCCACCCTCACACTCATCTATTCCTCCAAGCCTCATCTACTGCACCACTTCTTTGTGGCCCGGCAAACTATAGCGCAGCAATTTACCAGTTCCCCCCTGCCCCCCCCCCCTCCAACCCCCACCCCGGCCACCCCACCACACACATTTCCCCTTTGGGGCCCAGTCAGGTTGGTCAGGATACACTCGCTTCATTAACCCTTACTGCTGACTGGAAAGTCAGCCTTGCCTCTTTGACCTTTCGCATTGGCGGGCTTCCTTGGGCTGCACCTGACTTACAGTTTCCAGAGCTGGCCGACTCTGGGTGCATGTTGCGTTAACTCGGACTTTTTCTCTGTGTAAGTGTGTCGCGACTCACGTCCTGCGGTGTCTAGCACTTGTTTTTCTAGTCCAGCTCACAGCCTCACTTCAACCCCTAACCCCATGTCCCTGATGTGTCACTGAAAGATTAAGATGGTTTGGGAAATTGTTCGAGCAGAAGACTAACATTCCCATTTGGTCCTGGTATGAACTTCTATTAAGAGCATATTTTACCTATGTTTTCACACCGCATTTTCATGGGATACATAACAGAGGCATTAATTAAGAAGAGCATGATTTGTGAAGTCTTTTCATAAGGATATCGTGGGGGAAAGACAGAAGGATGTAGGCAAAGAAAGAGAAAGGATAGAGAACTGGAGATAGCCTGATGTAAAATTAAACAATGGTCTTACAGATAGACAGAGAGGGGAAGAGATTTAGAGATGAAAAGATATACCGATAGGTGATCTGATAGACAGAAAATGTGAGGGGGTGCAGAGGAAGTGCACAGAGATATCGACAGACAGACTCTGAGATATAAAGAGGGAAAGTGATACACAGCAGAAAAAAAACAGCGGAACATTTTGTAAAATTTCGCAAAAGACACACCGCGCAGCGAAACGAGGGAGGAGGAAAGAGAGAGGGAGAGACAGAGAGGGAGAGAGAGAGTGTGTGTGTGTCTATGTGTGTCTGTGTGTGTGTTTTATGAATGAAATGGTGACTCAGGCGATGTGTCATACAGCCGACGTCTTTATAAAGGAAGTTTTAACAAGCCTAAACATTTCACTGCGCGAAAAATAAGACACACTCACATCCTTCTCTTTCTAAGCAGTCATCTCTCTGTAGTTTTCTCCTGCTGTCCGTCTGTCTGTCTGTTTCTTTCACCTACTTCTCAAAGATAAAAGGAACTTTGCTATAACTTTATAAAGGCAAAAACTTTATCATTTGCTTTCATTTTTTTTTAATTTGTCTCACCCACACAAATATTCTTTCATTCATTCATTCATTCGTCTTTTGCCCTGCGGAGAGTAAAAGAGCCAGAAGAAATTTGGGAGCACGTGACACGTCCTGGAGTTGCAGTCATTCAATATTTATTTTTCCGCAACCTTCATTTGCTTATTTATATTTATTTATTTATTATTTGCTTGCTTATTTATTTTTATCTCGGACCGAGGAAATATGAAATGTAAGTGTTTTGAATGCAGTTTTTCAAACCCGTTTAATTGTATTGCTACAACGTAACTTCAACATCTAATGTCTGCTAGGTTGACTATTCTGAAGTCTGTGGGTTTGTCTATTCGTTTGTTTCATTAAGTTTGGTTTTTGTTTTTATTTTGATTCAAATGGTGCAAAAAAAAAAAAAAACAGTAGCTCAAGTAGGTACAGTTACCTGTGATTGCTTAGCGCTTTTAACAAGGTACCTGGGAGTACCTCCTAACAAAGCTGACAGATCGATAGTTTGCTTAATGGCAATGATTCAAAATGTGTTATCAAAATTCATATCTAAAACGTACTTCTGTATGAGGAATTTTGTTTTGTATGCGCAGCATACTGATACTCCCAATTGAGGGGTATCCCCATGGTTACCAGGGGGCCTGTAGAAGTGTCACTAATACCAACGGTTCCCAGATTTTACGCACATTAGATTTTTTTTCTGTTCTTCCTTTCCAGTGTGGACTGCCTTCGCCCTCAAACTGGCCATCTTACTGTTGCTGACCCCCCTGTCATTGTCATTTCCGACTCCTGTCCACCATCGTCGAACTGTTGACCCTGAGATATTGACCAATCAGACGAGGCATCTGCTTAAATTAACACAGGATCTCTTGGTGAGTTTACTCACGTTCTGTTCCTTATTGAAATGTTGCACCCCTGTAGTGGGTTGTTTTTGCTGTTGTTTCAACAGCAAAAATGTATATATATTTTGACATTCGATTGAAAAGTAATATGTAAATCTTGATAACAAAACTTTCAATTCAGCGATAAACTTAAAAATAATATATTTGGCATTTTAAAACTCAAGTGAAACTGAGTGGAATTGTTTTCAGAAGTTTTGCACGCCAAAAATACAGGATACATTTCAGTCCTTCGAGTGATTTGGTTTGGTGCATATCTAACCCAAACACAGTAAATTTCTCAAGGGCTCCAAGGTGTTTCGGCAACAGGTGATCATCTGACTAGACTCTGACTAAACACAGACGAAAAAAAGATTAGTGTTACTATTTGGACAGCATTGGCAGGGAGTCTCAAACTGATTTTGCTTAACTTCCACTACCTTTCCTCTTTTGCCAAAGTCGGGTTGAAACAGGTATGCAAGAAGGTTGTAAATGCAAATATTGTGGGTGTTGTTGGTGATTTGCTCGTTTTCAAGCCGCACGTATAATTCTATGTACTTGTGCTTGCATGCGTATGCTTTTGCATGCATTGGATTTATGCACGGTCCTCTCGTTTGTGCGTTCTTTTTCCAGTACTATTGTGTGTGTGCGTGCGTGCGTGTGTGTGTGTGTTTATGTGCACTTGCTACTATGTACCAAGCTGTCCGAAAGCTTCCGAAGGTAACACGTCTGCGAGTACCTGCTAATGTGGATTCCAGATGCCCGGGCACGATCGAATAATAAACGAGTGACATCAAGGGAATTTACTGGGAATGCCACTTTGAAAATATTTTCGCAACAGTTTTCAAGGACATGAACCATTTACTTTGGTTTCTCCTTGTGTGGAGTTCCATTTAGTACGGGTCAAGGCTGGGAAAGAAAAATAGAATGGAAGTCAGCGGAAAGTCCCTGCAAAAAAGCAATAAAGTGCCCGTGAGTGTACATGCACATGTAACTGTATGTCTGTGTATAGATGTGTGAATGTGTTACTGTGTACATTGGGTGTTGTGAATAGGTGGGTTTGTGTTGGTGTGCTGTTTAATGTTTAGTTTTTGGTCGCCACAGCAAAGTACCTTGATAGAGATCAGAGATTTATCAAATTCCAGAATTTGCATTCAGGAAGAAGAGATCGTGGTTGTGACATGGAGCTGGGTGGCGGGGTGGGGGGGGGGTTGGGGTGTTATGAACGAGGTAATGATCCGAGATGCAGCGAAGACTCGGATAAGAGGAACAAAAAAAGAGTCCTGAATGAACCAGAATGAAAGTGGTGTAGCTGGAGTAAGCTGTAATGGGCAAGAGGAGAACAATAACAGACACAGCGGAAAAATACGAAAGAAGAATTTCAAAGTAATCAATGCATCAACAACAGGATTTCAGTGAATAACACAGTAGTAACAAGCCAGTGGGAATTAAGACAGGAGTGGAAAAAAATCAGACGAGAGGCCAAAACGAGCAAAACGCAAAAACAACCACGGCGCAACTAGATGGAACAGCATTCAATGGGACATACACTTGATACGAGTGAGGAAACAGGAATTTAGGCAAACCGTGGGGAAATTTAAATTCACACGTCTTCTAATTATGTTGTGCTGTTGCACTGAAAAGAACTTCCTGAAGACAATCACCGCTGTTATGCATCCTGGTTTCGTGCTTTTGAAAGAAAAATAAAATAAATACATTTTCAAAACAATATTCTACTGCATAGTCCCGACATCTGTAAAATATAACGGACACCAATCAAAACAGTGACCATGCTGCATAAATGCAAAAGAACAACTAACACGTTTGTGCTTGAACTACTTTATTTGGTTTATTTGTGTGCATTTACTGTAGTCACTACAGGGAAAGAACTGTGTATATTCTCTTTGAATACAGACGAAATGTAAATTATATATTAGAAGATGCATTTAACTATCATATTTACATTATCACAGCTACCAAGAAACAAGTTTTGAGACTGTTTAATCAGCAAAATCAGCAGAGTGCTCTTTGTCTCCGTCCAGTGGTCATCATAAGAAATGTATATATCCCTCCAGCGCTCTCCATAATGATTTGTGTTTTTTTTTTTAATTCCTGATCCTGGAGTTTCCCTCAGGTCTTGTGTTGTCTATTCCATATTCTCGGCTCTTAGTCACTGGATATGTTTTTGTACCACTTTCAAAAACATCCTGTGGTTTCATGTCACCAACTTATATTGTTAACATTTTTAAGTTTAATCCAGCAAACAGGTCCTGTTATGGATGGGCATAATGAAGGATGATCCACCTTGTGGCTCAAACAAAATAAGGGATTTTAACAAAACAAAATACGAAAGGAACCACTAGGGGTAAAAAAAAAGCAGGTAAAAGACAAAAATTAAGGCAGGAAGCAACACAGGAACAAGAATGGAGCTACATAGGATCAACTATAGCAGAACAGTAGCAAACATGGGACAACAACAGCTACAAACACACAATCAGGCAACAAATACTCACAGCCAAACTGGGACCAAACACAAAGCAGCAAGGCAACGCAACTGACTCAATGACCTCTGGCCAGCCTTAAGCCCACAATGGAAAGGGAAGCCTGGATGACACCACCTGCTCAGCCCATTAATCTATGCTGCAGCACAGGGAATAGAAGAAACAAAAAGAGCTAATACCAGATGGGATGACCAGTGACACCTGCTGGCCAAAAGGGGAACTGACATAATAAAAGGGGGCAGGGCAGGGGCTGATCCTGACATTACCCCCCCAAGGAACATGCAAACCCCAGGCTTGCAAGGGTATTGCCAGTACCACAAATACACAGGAAAAAACAGTGACCAGTGACAACACAAGACTTGACATAGGAACCCAGGAGACTGAGAGATTGGAATGACTGGAGCAGAGCATGACAAAAGGGACCAAAGACAAACAGGTGGAACATGAGGAGCTGGGTCAGGACCATCAGATTAGGGAACACTACCAGGAACTAGAACCAGTACCAGGACCACATTGGGGACAGACAGGAGACCCAACAGATACACGACCAAGGGACCAAAGAGGGAACTATGACTGATAGGGGAGGCACAGGACTGAGGGACTGAAAGGGACTTGGTGGGAAAGGAAGGGAACAAACAAAGGGGCACATCTAAGGAGGTGAAGTATCAGATGGACGACTACAGAACACTGGGGGTTTAACCATGAACGGGAAGAGAAACAGAAGGATGGGCAGAGGGAACCGTTGTGGGCATAACTGGAGGATGCATGGCTGGGCTGAGCAGCAGTTCCACAGGAGCTGGCAAGGATGGAACAAGGATGAATGGAAACCACAGGTAGTGTGTTCTGAGAACACCAAAGGCAGGGACTGAATATGCGGCAGCCTCCCCTGGACAGGGCTCTGGAGACACAGTGACCTCCCCATAGCAGGGGTTTGGAGACATGATGGTCTCTACTGGGCAGGACTCTGGAGATGCAGCAGCCTTCCCAGGGCTGGGCTCTGGAGATGCGGTGGCTTCCCCTGGGTAGGACTCTGGACACGCATTGGCCTCATCTCAGCAGGACTAGGGAAACATGGTGGCCTCTCCTCAGCAAGACTCTGGAGACACACCGGCCTCCCTTGGGAAGGACTTTAGACACACATCGGCCTCACCTGGTTAGGGCTTTGGAGATGTGGTGGCCTCCCTCGGGTAGGACTCTGGAGAGGCGGTGGCGTATATATATATATTTATTCTTATTATTATTTTTATTTTTTTCTGTTTCAGGAAAATCATGTCATTGCCACTGATATTGAACACAGGTTCAAAACACTTCCAACAATAACCAGCAGAGCGACAGATCTGAATTCTCTGGAGGTACAAAACTCTCCCCTTTCATATAACATACACGCACCACTGGAGCAGAGCTGGATATAAATGCTCTTTCCCCCATACACAGGTGAAGTCAACATTGGCCCAGCTCCACGCAGACCTGCTGCTGTATGACCTCCATTTTGACTGGTTAAACAATGCGACAAAGAAGCACGAGAATGCTGCTTTGGCTAAACTAGGAGAGCTGATACATCTCCTCAAGGCGCTCATTGTGTCCCTCCAGCGGCAGGTGGGTAGTGCCTATTTTGTCCGTCCTGCTACGTACCTCTGCTGTGTTAATTCCCGCTGCTTTTACCTGTTACTTGTTACTTTCATGCAGTGCAACCGTACTAGTACTGTAGTGCTGCTTCCTTACACTACTGTTGTAGGTGCTTCCAATCCCATCCCTTCTCCACATGGGTGGGTTATGCAGATTCTCCTGTTCCTCAGCTTTTCTTTGTCTTACTCCTGCAGCCTAAAGATACACTCAGTTAATTGGTGTCTAAATTGCCCAGTGTTTGATGGGTACCACTTTACAATAAGGTTCTCTTTTGCCACTGGTGAATTGTAGTAACTCATTAATAAAAAGAAAACTGTGTTATAACTTGTATGAAATTGTCTATTAATAATTTACAAAATGTTACAACCTAATTAATAACCAGATTATAAGCCATTCTTAAACTCTTTGTATCGGTAGCCTTATTGTAAAGTGGCACTGTTTGATTCTATGTGCCCTGGATGCACTCCTGCAATTATTGCTTCTTAAATTAACGTCACATCACTTTCATCTTATTCCCTCCTCAAGATGTCAAAACCGGAGGTAATACGAACACCTGCCCGTTCTCTGCCTCTGCCGTCCATTCCTGTGTCACAGTGGGAAGTAGTGCAGTCATCCCTCGAGATTCTGCAGAAGTTCCGCCTCTACTGCGACTGGACACTGCGCGTCTTACTCAGCCTCAAGCTGAAAAATTAATGGCCGACAGGGCAGACAGTCAATGCATCCACGCCTGCAGGCCTTCATGTGCCAACGCTCTCTCCACAGTGACTGTGGGGACAGTTTGCTTTGCCCCCTTTTCCATGATTTGTTCATGACAATTTGTGTTATTTATCTATCTATTTATTTATTTATTTATATTAGTTATTTATTTGAGGATTTTATTTATTTGTTCTGTATCTTATCATTGATATTATTACTTATTTTGTAGCATTAAGGTGTGAATTAAGATGTAAGATTCCTTCAACACTTCCTCTGGCCAAGCTTTCTATCACTGTATTAAAATAAAGAGAGATAGTTACGGAAGCACTTCTTGGGTTCACAGAACCTCAAAATTCAATTGATTGTATGTCAAAATATATCATTGTTTAAACTTTTCTTTTTTAGTATTTAATCAGCAGTTGTGTTTATACTGCTGCTGCTAAATGTAGCAATAGACTAGGAAATGCAGCCTTTCTTTCTGTTTTCATGTGGGAGTTGGGTGAAGTTGCTGCTAGATGCTGATCCAAGATCAGCGTTCACTGGCTATGAATAACATTTGGTTAGTGCAGAATTATGCCAAATTAACTAGTAGCAACTTCAAACATAAACATGTAATATATATACGAATATCTGTAGATATTACCTCCTAAAACTGGTTCAGAATCTTTTTGCACAGTTTGGTTATGGTTATATTTTGGTTACCTGATCCTGGATTAGTATTTGGGAGTAAACATGTACTCTGTGCAATAGAGTATGTTCTTTGATTAAATTAATAATGATATTTTTGTATTTGTGTTTAATAAAGCACTCAGAATTTGTAATACAGTGTAAAAGGCATATTGCATTATATTGCATTTTTTCCTATTGTACTGTCATTTTTCTAGCATATAATGTACTGTATTCTGCGAATTTCAATTTGTATCAATATATTTGTATCTCGGTATCAGTATTTTTTTCTCAGTTTTTAAAACTTTGGTACAGTATTTTTTATTTATTATGTTTAGGTCAGGGTTTATTATTTATTGATTCGAGTGGAAGGACGACTTTTGCAATTTTTTCTTATGTATGAGCTATTCTCATCACGATCATCATTGTTATTTAAAATATTGACGCTAAGTAGTACTGTGCTACAACTAAAATGAATGTTCGTATAAGTAAGGTATGGTTTGCATACAGCGATGAACCGAAATGTGAAACGTTGTATTGGGGAAAAACACAAAAAATGTACAAACGTAAGAAACAAATAAAGAAAATGGCGAAAACATTGCTTTAATGTTCATCTACGATAAAAATAAAAAAAACTACGAGTCTACATCTTTACTTTATTTTACCAATTTTCCATTTATTATCGTAAATATTTCACTTGCACGGAAAGACTGATATATCATATACTGCTCCTGCGAAATTAAGGCTCAGTGACAGTCGTTTCGGCTTGCCAACGCTTAAGCCAATGAAAACGCCAGAAGCAGGGCCGCGGTCAACCAATAGATTTCTGCGTTGTTGCGAGGTGACAGCGGGCGGGTGACTGCTAGTTAGTTTGTGCTCGATATTATTGTTAAGGTTGTATGGTCGAACACTGCGGACTCAGTTCTTTGTAGATATATACCACAACAGTATAAATAATCTTAAAACTAAAAGTGTCGGACTAACACTAGGTTATTAAGCCTGTCGATACAAAATATCATAGGTCGTTTTTTTTATTTCGCATGAAACGAGACAAATTGATTGAGGAAGGCCGGTTTTGTTGGGGTTCGGTTGACAGAGGATTGTTGTCTGTCATAAATCCTGTTCATATCTTTGGCATGGTTTGAACCGTGGAGGTGGGTTCATAAATGTGTATGAATATGTTTGTGTGTTTTGGGAAACCGATTTCGGGGACGAAGGATACAGACAGATACAGAAAAAGTGAGGGAGGAGGGAAGGGGAGGAGGTGGAATTTAAAGGGGAAGGTGCTAGTTTTATTGGCCGACAATAAAAGTGCATGGAAAACGTGCTACCACTAGCTGGATTATTTGGACCGTTTACTCGTACCTACAGTTATAGGACACAGTTAAATTAATGATAAAATAAGTATTTAAATTTCTATTAAAAATTATTTTCATATGAGGAATTGTAACCGTATGTAGCCAGTACTACTATAACAAGATATTAGTGCTTCTTTGCAGTGTCACATCTCAGATTGGATGCCCAGTGGGGTATTGGGGACCAGGTTTCATGGTTGTTGTATGCTTGATGTTACATTTGATATGAGTTTTTGTATTTTAAGCAGCACATCTGTGTTTTTCTATTGTGCTAATATGAATCCACTTTCATCCATAAAGGTGCAAACCAGGCAATAACCAGTCACGGAAAGTGACGCAAGACCCCGGCATAAGATGAAAAAGGGGTGGAAGCTTCAGAGCAACGGAAAGAACAGTCATCCTGCAAAACACAGACCCACGAAAGACATGCAGAAGGAAGGCTGATACCGTTTATCCTGTGTATGCCCACCCCTGGAAACAGGATGGCTAACACTGTTGCCACGTTAGTCGTGCAGACTGAGCTTCTGCCATCAGAGCCCCGCACCTCACTCTCGCCTTTCCCTCCCCTGCTGGCAGCAGCTGATGAGGGAGATGAGGACGTGGAGAGGGAGAATGTGCAGCAGCTGGAGAAGGGAGCTAGCCGAGTGGTACTCACAGGTGTGGAGATCGTCCAGTCTGCCTCTGCGCCGCAGAATCCTGAGCACCCCTTTCAGTGCCTGGATTGTGGGAAGAGCTTCAAATGGTCTTCCAGGTTGGCGCACCATCAACGCAGCCACAACAATGAGCGGCCTTACCGCTGCAACCTCTGTCCAAAGGCCTTCAAGGGCTCTTCTGCCCTGCTCTACCACCAGAGGTAGGGTGCCCTCAGGCTTCTGTGCTTACCTGACACAGCAGGGAACTTGCCATGTCTTGTTCTGTTTATTAACACAATTACCCATCATCTCCATGGCGTTCTTGCCCATGGCTATTGGACCAAGCTGTTAAGTATTATTGAAGACATGTCCTTTTTGATTTAGATCACACTCGGGTGAGAAGCCTTACAAGTGTGAAGACTGTGGTAAAGCTTTCAAACGCTCATCACTTTTACAGGTGAATTGTTTTTACTTGTGGCTGGGGAGGTCATTTCGATATGTCGTACTCAGCATTTTTTGAATTAAAGAATAGATCTTCTTTAGAAGGGGAACGAAATTCCTATTAGGTTTTTTTTTAATTTTTGCCCTGGCTTATAGTGTTTTCGCCTCTCTGTCTGCAGGTCCACCGCAATGTGCATACTGGTCTGCGGACCTTCCAGTGCCCCTACTGCCCACTCACCTTTAAGTGGAGCTCGCACTACCAGTACCACCTGCGGCAGCACACAGGTGAATGCCCGTACCCCTGCGACACGTGTCCCAAGGCCTTCAAGAACTCAAGCAGCTTGCGTAGGCACAAGAATGTGCACCTGGGCCTCAAGCCGTACGTGTGCGCTGTCTGCACCAAGGCCTTCACGCAGTCCACCAACCTGAGGCAGCACATGCGCATCCACACGGGCGAGAGGCCCTACATCTGCAGTGAGTGTGGCCGCTCCTTCACCCACTCGTCCAACCTGGCGCTGCACCGGATCTCCCATGTGGAGGGTAAGGGGAGGTCCGGTGGGGGCAAGGCAGCCCCGCCTACAGAGAGTGCAACCTCCGTGGAGGTGGGTGTGGAGGTTGGGATCACCGACGTCGTCGGACTGGTGGCACAGGAGGCCGCCGTGGGAGTGGGGGTTGGGGAGGTGTTCCTTTCGCATCATGCCCCGAGCCAGAACCCGGCGCTCATGCCCCAGCTGACCCTCACCCCAGGTGAGAACGTCACCGCTGAAGTTGATGTGACCACTGGGGGCGCTGGCGTGTTGCTCTACAGCTGTGGAGGCTGCAGCCAGACCTTCAGCACGCACACGGAACTGGAGGAGCACCAGGCTCTACACCTGGGAGCCCTGGGGCAGACGGACGAGGGAGGGGGCGGGGCCGGTGATGAATCTGGTACCGAGGGAGGGGTGGCGCTGGTGGGGGCGGGGCCTCTGCTGGCGGACTTCGAGGAAGTAGTGGAGACCACAACGAGCTCAGAGAATAACCACAGTGCGGCCGACATGCTTGGTTTGCCGGGAGCTGCAGACGGCGGAGTCCAAAGTCAGGCCCAGTTTGACCTCTTGCAGAGCTTCACGGAAGTGCCCCAGCTGCCCCCCGCCACTGCTATATCCACCATAGCGGCTGCTGGGGTAGGGGGCTCTACAGAGTGCACCTACTGTGGGAAGAACTTCAAGACCGTGGGTGGCTTAAATAGACACTTGAGCCAGGTATGTGTCTGAGACAAGTAATGTTTCACTGTTTACTTTGACTTTGTGGCCAGTTGAGTTTAATCCTGCCTAATAATGACGGTCAGTTTTGATAATACAGTGTGCATCATGCCTGAGATCTTGCTTATGGATTCTAAATACTTCTTACTGCTTGGAAACAGAACATATATGTCCTTTTTTTCTTAAAACAGTTTTTCAAAACTAAATTTAATTATGGTCAGTTATTTCAGTTAATTATCTTTACTAGCTCTGAATAAATAGGTGAAGGATTATTTGAGTTAAATTAAATGGCTGCTCGAGGCATACAACTAGACCAACTTGATTCCTGCTGATATATCTGTAACATTCTTTATGGGAACTGTATCATCAAATAACTAGTCATTTATCTATAAGTGCAGCATTTGCAGTAATATCCAATTAACAGTCCAATTAGTCCTCATAAAAATAATCTCTTATTAAAAGTAGTAACTGTGAAAGTAAGTTGATATTATGTTTGCTTGTTTTTGTATGATGGAGAGTTGGTTGGTGTGATCTGTCCCCTCTCTGGTCTTTTGGCTGGTTTAAAGCCCCTTTCTCCTTCCGTCCCATACAGGCCCACTCGTCTACGCCATCGCACCCACAGTCGCAGTCTCGCTCACAGTTCAGCTGCTCCGCTTGCGACCGTTCTTTCTCACTGCTGTCATCACTGCTGACACACCAGCACTCCCACACACCCGAGCAGAGGCTGCTGGCCGAGGCCGAGGCCGAGATCGTATGCCCACCGTCGCTCTCGCTCTCCCTGCCCCTGCCCACCTCGCTGGGGGCCAAGGGCCGAGAGCGGGAGGAGGCAGAGCGTGAGATCCACGTGAGCCTCATTGCCGTGACGGAGGAGGGGACGAGGGAGACGGCCAAGCCAGGCCGTGGAGGAAACAAGGGCCAGAAGAAAGGAGGAAGTAACAAGAACCTCAGCGGCAACAGCAGTGGTAGGTTTCTGTCCATCATCTCAGCTTCAGATAGTTTTCATTTGCTGCTGTCCCAGTTCAGCGACACTGACCTGGTCCGGCACGTTCTGCTTCTTTGTCAACCTGCCTTCGACAGAGCGGCCATACCGCTGCTCCGAGTGTGGGAAGGCTTTCAAAGGTTCGTCTGGCCTGCGCTACCACATGCGGGATCATACCGGAGAGAGGCCATACCGTTGCACAGAGTGCGGCAAGAGCTTCAAGAGGTCTTCATTACTGTCCATCCATCAGAGGGTAAGGGGTCGGCTACTGGGGTCCTCTCCCAGAAACAGTTACAGTGGGTCTGCCTGGGTTTATCATGCCTAAGGAAGTAGTCATGTCTAAAAGAATAAAGCATTAGGATGAATATGGGTTTGGTTCAATTCCCAAAGTGTTGGTCAACAGAAGAATGACAGGTACTTATTGCAGAGGCTGAAACAGGAGTTCTGGCCCCAGAAAGCCCGGGGCAGTTCTGATGCCTCCTCGTCAGCCCATCCCATCATCTGGCCCAGTGTTTGCCAATCCGGTTCTCGGGGCAAAAATATGGACTGTCCTCCCAAACCAAAATGTGGATTGTTTGGCAGGGAGCTGGGAGGGACATGGAGCATCTTTGTAGGTCCCCGAGGACCAGGTTGGGAAACACTCGTTTTTGAATTTCCCTGGAGTGTCCAAACGGAGGCTGGTGACTACGGTACCATTAGCCTGCTTAGTCACAGCTGCTGGAAACAGTCTGGACCATTGTATATAGTCAAATCATGCCAGAAATTTCCCAGATAATTGATCTCAGAAGCAGTATATTGACACTGGAAGAGCATTTTTATGTTATAGCACATCAGCCAGATGAAGAGGCTAATCCATCGTGTGTAGCTCAAACTGTGGTTTGAGTTGGAGCTCCAAAAAACAACTTGGACAACTGGGGAAGTTTTGAGGGCCCAGAAGGAATTCCCCCACCCCCTCCTCCTCTTCCTCCTCCTCCTACAGGTGGCAGGCCTCCTTGTGGTATGACAGTCTGTCATTCGCAGGCAGGACTCTGCACCAGGACCATTTGCTCTAAAGCTGTCTGCCTTTCATAACTCATCTGACTCTCCGATCTGCCCAGCACCAAGGTGGTTTTTGTGAATAGTTCTGGAGTGAAGAGGGTACTCTTGACAAGATTTGATGTGAGATTATACATTTGAGGGTGATTCTGGTTTTAAACATCAGGAAATACCACGCACCCCCAAAGTGCAGAGGTTGTGGTTTCCTTGCTGCGTTTGACTTGCTGTTGTGATGATCTCAGTTTTATACAGTTGCTGTACTATTTCAGCACTAACGCATTTCCACTTATGTGGTTTTGGTGCAGCCTTAGTAATTAGACTGAAGTTTTCTGCACTTCAGCTGTAAAAACATTTGAAGTCGACCTTTTGGTATAGTAATGCTTAAAAACATCTGCATTCTCAATTTCCTTCTTTTAATTGAAAACACTCTCGGTTTTGCCAATCCTTATATATTTCAATAATGTTTTCCTATTCCATTTACTGCTCTTTTAATTTAGAATATTTTACTCATGGATATACTGGAAAGATTGTGGAGTTTTCTTTATGCTGTGGACAGCATGGTGCTTTGGTGGGTAGCTGTATCTCCTTATTGATACTTTTAGGGCTTGATATTTGTTGGAGTTGGGGTTGTGCATGTGTGCGTGTGCGTGTGCGTGTGCGTGTGCGTGTGCGTGTGC